GGTGTAAACTCATGGCTGTAAACTCTCTTTGATGATGAGTTTTAGGAAGTTTTAAGGCTATGATCTAGTGTTTCAACTATATAACAAGCTAAGGAGAGAGTACTTACGATATAGAGGCTTGAAATAGTGATTAAGGTTCAAGAACACTAGTGTGTGTTCTTGGTGTTCTTGGTGTTTCTTGAATATCTAAGAAAAGATGATATCCATGGATGAAATCATGAGATAATGCTAGATTAAGAGATGTATCCATAAATCAAAGGAAGAAAACTTACGTTTATAATGATCTCGGATGAAAATTCGATGATACTTGAGAGGATTTGAAAGTGTTCCTAAGGTGGAAATGAAATAATGAAAGAAAAGTGAAGAATATGAGACTATATGGAGGAGTTTACAGCCAGCCTTGAGTTTACGGCCGTAAACTCTTATGCTTTGGCCGTGAACTCCTTTTTGGTGGAGATTAAGGCTTGAACGTTGCATAGTGTCTCTAGAAGGTATTTCCAAACACTCATTGCTTAAGTGTACTAGGCTAAAAACACTCAAACAGTCTCTAAACAGTGCTGAAATATAACAGATGCGAGTCTGACTTAAGGGTGACTGTACTCATTAGAAAAATTAGATGAGATCAACATAAAGGAGGTGTCTGCATAACCATAGGTTCTAGTCTTGATGGTTTCATATCGTGATTTACGATTCACTTGCTAAATCCATAGGAAGTTCCACGAGGAGTTGGGTAGTTAGTTCCTTTTCAGTACTACCTACCACCTATATACTGAGGGGCATAGTGAGCGGATTATTCAAACCCTTGAGGATATGTTGTTGCGTACATGTTGGATTTTGGTGGGAGCAAGGATACCTACTTTCTTTTGTCCAAGTTTTCATACAACAACAGTTACCATGCCAACATTGGTATGCATCCCTTTAAGCTTCTTTATAGGAGAAGATGTTAGACACCGATTTGTTAAGGTGAGGTCGGCTATCAACTGATGGGGAGCATCGAAGTGATGCTCAAGGCTACTGAATTAATTCCGTAGTTATGGGATATGTTGTGTACCGCACAAAGAATACATAAAAGTTATGCTGATTGATGCTGCTTTGACCTAGATTTTTAGTTATAAGACCTTATGCTTTTGAAAGTGTCACCTTGGAAACTTATCATCCGCTTTTGGAAGTGATACAACTTAGGCCCTAGATTCATTGACTCGTTCAGTTATCGCCCAAGTGGGAAAGGTGGCATATCAATTGGATTTACCCACTGATCTTAGTCAAATTCCCAACACATTTCATGTCTCTTAGTTACAGAGGTGTTTAGCAGATGATTCTACAGTGGCTCCTTTGAATGACATTCAAGTCGATGAGCGCCTGAATTACATGAAGAGGTCTGTTGTGATTATTGACAAGAGGACAAAGTTCTTAATCAACAAGGATATCAGTTTGGTGAAGGTGTAATGGCAACACCAGAAGGGTTTCAAATGGACTTGGGAACCTAAAGATGAGGTGAAGGACCATTATCTAGAGTTATTTACATTAGTAGATTTCAAGGAAGAAATCTTATTCAAGTAGGGGAAGAGTTTTAACACTTGTTTCCTGATATGGTTCTTCTGAATTTTATTTCGATTATTAAGTGTTCTGATTTCTACATAGGCCACGATGTGGTAATTGAATGACCACGACGTGGAAGCTCGGATCCAGAAAACACACATTCATGAATTACCACGGCGTGGTAAGATCTTGGCCACAACGTGGAGGCGGTTAGAGTTTAAAACCCTAGATTTCAGGATTAGTGTCCTATTTAGAGGCACTAACTCCTAGGGTTGCCTCATTTGGTAGCCTTCATCATCTAAGAACGATCCTTACCCAAACCCTAGATTATATATATATATATATATATATATATATGTGTGTGTGTGTGTGTGTGTGTGTGTGTGTGTTTTAAGAGTTTGAAGCCATTTTATGAAGTTTGGAAGAAGAAGAATGAATCCATATTGAGGATAGGAAGCTTGGATTTGCCTTGGATATATCATCTTTATCTCATTTCTTACGTTGAGTAGGTATAAAGTCTCAACCTTGGTTATTATATATATAGATCTCATATTAGGTCATTTTATCAGCTTTTTAGTCCCAATTTTCTTGTCTTTGGAGTTCGGGTGAACTCCATTGAATTTGAGTGCATTATCTAGCTTCTAGACCATGGTGTTGATTGGAAATGACCTTGCATGACTTTGTGTGATGTTCATGCAATCGGTGCAACCATTAAGAGCTTATGGATTAGAGATTTTGACTTATTAAGTGATATTAATAGATATAGTTGGAAACTTTGACCATCTAGAGCTTAAGGGGGGATCAGATTTGAGTTTTGAAGCTCTTAAATTAATTGGATGAGAGCTTAATCCATTAACCTATTTATATCCAGTTTCCACAATGTAGTGGCTGGCTCAGTCACGACTGTTTTGTCGAAAAGATCCCACAACATGGCCAATGGATTACTACGACGTGAAGGTCAACTAACATTGACTTTGACTGTTGACTTTTGACTAGTTTTGACTTTTGGTAAAAAAAAAAAAGCTATTTTTGAAATGTAGACCAAGAGTTTACCTTGTATGATTCGATATGGGGTGTGTAGTACCTATTTCTGGGTTGTGTGAGCTGCTTAGCTGTTGGCTACTTTGTGGGGTGAGTTTTCTCACTATACTATATAGGATGATATTTGTCTTTGTGATACTTGGATGGAAGATCAGGATTTTGCCCCTAACATTTGTATGAAAAACTAGGATTGACCCCTTAATATTTAGATGTAAATCCAGGGTTTGGCCATTGGCAATTATATGGAATACCATTATCTAGTCCCTAACACTTGTACAAGTAAATACCATGATTTGGACGATGACGGTTAATAAGATTATGATTTGGCCCATAAGATCCTCCTGGGTCGAAATAGATATGTCATGTTATGTATGATATGTGGTATTTTGGAGAACTCAATAAGCTTTGTTCTTACAGTTTCGTGGTTTAAATATTTCAGGTATTTCTAGTTCCAAGGAGAAGAGTCTGGTATGATTGCATCGTATCCATTGGAGATTACATAATTATGATTTTTATTATCACTCTAATGTTATGGTGAAATACTTTTGATACTATCTCTTCTTTTGAAAGTAATGAATGAATGTTTTGGCTGAATTAAAAACAAAATTTTATCTAGTATTTTTGGAATGTTACATTTATATTAGATTAAAATCCCAAGTGTTCTAATATTGGCTCGCGTTTTTTGGGGCCCAGTATATGTGGATCTCTTTTGGATGTACTTTAGTATCTAACGATCACTTGGTTGTATCTCTCTTATATGGTTAATCGATCAAGACACTAAAAGTTTTTCATGCTCTACTTGTGATCACTTTAAAGTAAGGAAACACATTATTCGATATATGCAATGTACTCCATAAAATGGGGTCTTATTTTAACATCCTCATACATATTCCTATGTAAGGTATTAGGACTAATTCGACTACACATGCTAGACTAAGACTCAACGCTTGTACCTATGTTTACTCCATCTTCCTTGACAACAACTTAATTTCTTGCAGAGTAGAAAAGGAGCTTATTGTGTCTCATTGAGCTATGAATCTTGATATCAACGAATGGAGAACACAACTGCCAAGCTCGGATGGGTCACAAATCTCCTACAAGTAAAAGAGGAAATGATACTATTCTTTCTGTATATAATTTCCGTTCACTGTACATCTCTTGTGTTCTTGTATTATAAATTTTGATGAAATACATCTCTCATCGTTAAAGTGATTTTCACTAATTAATCTTATAGATACCACATGAAAGTGCATATATAGAGAGTTTGTTTTTATTTCCAGCACATCCTATCTACCGCTGAAATCTACTACTTCTAACAAAATTTCCCTTAACTAGCATTTAAATCATATGACATTTACGAAATAAATTGGGCAATATATTTTTACTATAAACGAAAAACAAAGTATGTGATAAAATTAATGATGATTCAAACAACTATTTTTTGGTAAAGCATCAACCAACTAAATGCTTTTATTCCCTGTTTGTGTGATTGAACAATCATGGCCAACATAATCATTTATGTATTACTGAATTTGTTCATTGGTCGTGAACATTTTCAGTAGATAGCGAGTATATTTTAGAAGCAAAAAGAGGCAAAGATGGACCCAAAATTAATAGAGCATGCATATTATTCACATCAAATAACTCAATCAATCAAATCATATTCAAATAAGTGATGTGTGTGTTTTGAGTAAAAATGAATAATATATTTAAGTAGGTGTACTATATGTTTTGATAAAATAAAATCTACTATAAATGTGTAAAAGGGCTTTGATTGTATGATTGAACACATAAATCTCAATAGGTCTATTCCTATTTTTGAACAGCTGAATCGTTAGGATTATATAATCTTGTTTTAACTTTTAATTTTAATTGAAAAATAAAAATAAAAAAATTGAATTCAAATATTTAAAATAATAATATTTTAATCAAACCGTCAACTTAAAATAGTGGTTTAAGTAAGCCGGAATATTGAACTTTTCAAGTGGGATGATAATGCCATGTCTAATCACTTTGTAGTCAAGATATTAGGTAGAAAAGGATCGACCAAACATATTGTAATTTTGTATGTGGTCAATTTATTGACGCAATAACTGGATTTTCTTTTTGGATATCGTGTCAATCCATTACTGGCCACTCAAGAAAGTAACCTAGATGCCTCAAGATCACTCTTTGCCCTAATTAAATAACCGCTAAAGCAAAAGAAATCAGAAGACATCACATAGTGCTTCAATAATGCACATTCAAGGCATAATTCTTTTTTCCCCAAGTGGGAAATTCATTTTGTCTAAAATCTAAGTATATAATGGCATGTATACAAGCCCTAGGGTTTGATTCATAGCTACACACTTCACACATCTCTCTCTTCCTCTTATAAGGTTTAATTTAGAGAGAGGAGGGAGAGGGATTGGAGTGGAGCAATGAAGAAACGTCAAGTTGTGGTTAAGAAGAGTAGTTCTAACAGAACTTCAAGTGCATCTATGATTCAGAGAATCCGCTATGGAGAGTGCCAGAAGAATCACGCGGCAAACATCGGAGGGTATGCTGTCGATGGCTGCAGGGAGTTCATGGCAAGTGGAGAAGAAAGCACAACAGCTGCCCTTGTGTGCGCCGCCTGTGGCTGCCACCGGAGCTTCCACCGGAGAGAAGTCGATGAAGTTGTGTATGAAGGTTCATCAACATCGGAAATCTAAGGGGGGCTGTAAGTGGTCTATAAAAAGAGGGGCTACTGGGGGTTGACATGAAAACATTTTAAACACTCACAAATGTACGAGTATCATACATATATATCTTTTCTATAGGTTTTCAAATATCTGCTTGTATTGATTATATTAATTGCTTTTTCTGTACAAAATTAATTGACTGCTCTTGTCATCAGAGTTATACAGTGATTCTAAACAGCAAAAATTGTCTCCTACTTTTTGTTTTTTCCCATAATAGAGTTTATCCGCTGTCTACTGATGTGTTCCTGGTAATCAATCATAGTAACATCCGAAAATACAGTTTGCACGAAGGAGTATACGTAATCAGAAGAAATTCTCAATTAGACATGACTAGTAGAGTTTATGCAATGCTAAAGTAGCTAGGGTTTAATGAGCCAGTTAAGATGGTCTTGGAAAATATATATATATATATACATACTTGTACCATGTGCATATTATCAAGTAGCTCTGAATTTTAAAAAAGAAAAAGAAAAAAGAAACAGATTCCCATGAAGATGAGAGCTGGGTGGATAATAAAATATACAAGTTTGCATGCATTATTTGGAGAATTAAAAAGAATGAATAGATGGACTTGGAAGTCACATGGATACAGCAAACAAGCCTCCAGCTTTACAGCTTCAATCTTCAGCACTTTCACGGATGGATCTTGTCCCCTAATCGAAATTACAAACTGCTATGGTCTGCCAAATGTGTATTTTAAAAGTCTATGATCCCTTTTATTTAATCTACAGAAGCAACACAAAGTCAAATGCTTTAATATATTAATTCTTATTTTTTATTGAACAACTGTGAGGTATCTTCAGTGGTCTTGGGATTTAAGTGCTTTTTTTTAAGAATGTAAAGGAATTAAGTTTTAGCAATAGTGATGTACGATCGATGAATTATTCAAATAAAACTTGAATTAACTAATATAAATCTATATATCTACATATTTATCTATCTAGCTATGTATCTATTTTTTATGTCGATCTTTCAAATAAATGTGTTTGAAGATAAATCATCTACTATTTTCAAACTCTCCAACTTTTCACCTTATCCTACTTAATGATTATTTAATTGAATTTTTTTATGTATATAAGATGCATTTGGTCGTCTTATTTTTTTTATTTACGTTATCAATATTGCACGTCTTATTTTATTTATTTTCGTTATCAATATTGCACGAGAATAAAGAAGTTTAAAGTACGATTTGTTTTCTTCTTTCCATATCTTTTTTCCTTCTACATGAGCCAATCCAACCATTTTTGCTATTTATAAATGATGAAGAATTATGTTAAGGGTGTATATTATAGGCAAAAGAAAAAGTGTTGGCAATTTTGATGTGTTATGTCTTGAAAATAATAAAAAAAAATGTTTAAAGTAGGTTTGTTTTCTTCTTTTCCTATCTATTTTCCTTCCATTTGTTTAAATTTCATATAAAGTATATTGTCTATTGAGCTAATCCAACCGATTTTTGTATTTATAGATGATGAAGAATGTATTAAGGTTATACATGATAGGCAAAAAAAAAATGTTGTCAATTTGATGTTTATGTGTTGAAAGTGTTGCCAATAATATGTGAAGGTTGTATATTTAAAGATAAAAGAAAAGAGTTGTAAATTTGGATTTTTTTTTTTTAATTTGGTTATTAATATAAATGTGTTTGAAGTATGTTTTTTAAAGAAAAAAATGAGATCAAGTGGTGATTTTTAATGGGTTATATTCATATTTATGAAATAAATACAAGACATAACTGAGAAAAAAAAATTACAAATTTTATATGTTTGAAGTGTTTTAAAAAAAAACAAAAAACAAAAAAAACTAAGATTAAAAGTATAAAATTTTACAATAAAAAAACTACTTTTTGATGGTTATTCTTCACATTGATGATAAAGAATTGTGTTGCGATAAAAATAAATTAATAAATAAACAATAAGTTACATTATTGGTTGGTATAAATTAATTAGAATGTGATTATTAAAATACACCTAAGGCATTTTTGTCCTTTTTAAGAATTGTGGTTTGAAAAGTTTTTACATATTTAAGATATTTTAAAAACACATGGATTTAAAAGGTCATAAGAATAATTTTTTAATTTAATTTCTTCAATTTATTTATTTAGTTTTGTGTAAAAGGTGTCATGCATTGCATCATAAATTCTTAAGGTAGTATATCTTATTATGATTTGATTCAGCTTTTTTTTCCCAAAAGATAATATAATTAAATAAAATATAAATAAGAAAAAACATCATAAATGGTCCCTGTGGTTTCTCAAAATCTGAAGTTTAGTCCCGGTGGTTTAAAAACATCATAGATGGTCCCTGTGTTTCCAAAACTTTTGACGATTGGTCCTTATTGCTAACACCGTTAAATTGTCTGTTAACTGAAGGGTATTTTCGTCATTTCACTACCACAGGGACCATTTATGATGTTTTCACTTATTTAAAAAATTAAAATAATATAAAAATAGGCATCTATCTCTCTCTCTCTCTCTATCGCTCTCTCTCTCTCCCCTTATCAACAAGGCTAGTCTTCCCTCACTTGTACTGCTCTCCTTGTATGATACAAAGAGAATAAAACATTTGTCTTCTGTGGGTTTTAAGATTCACTCTTAAGTTATTTTATTTCGACTTTCATCAAACATCAATAAAAGAACACTGATTCGCCTTCTTCAATTTACAATTTGATTAGGGTTTTTTGTTTTCTGCTTCATCGATCCTTTCTTTCTCTCCCGAGCTCTTGTTCTGTAGGGTTTTTCTTGAGCAAGAGTGGTAGAAGATTACATGGGCCAAATGAGAGAGAGCAATAGCAGCAATAATATAGGCACACTATCCACTAGACTACTACTCTCTTATATGGGTCGGGTGGAGGATCGGTTCTTTCCCTAGATACCACCAATACTTCTTTGTATGGGAGAGGAGGAGGTAGTACAATCGAAAGTGGAGGTACCCAAAAATTTTGTAATTCCTCTTATGTAATGAGCTTTCATAACGAAGATAAATCTCTTAAAGCTTAGATCATTTCCCACCCACACTATTCCAACCTTCTTCAAGCGTATATTGACTGTAAAAAGGTGAACTAAATTCATATAATTCTCGAACTTAGAATAATTACATGTTATATACACAATATTACGAGGAATGACAATGGGTTAATTTACCTGATAGAAGTTGCAGAGAGATTCTTCAGGTTGCAAATTATGCTTGGGTTCGATAAGGCCAACATATTGCCGACTGGCTGCTCGTGAAATCAAAACCCGTTATTCAAGATCAACTCCCCCAGCAGTTAGACCGTACTTGCAATCTCATTGGTTTATCAAACAACGGATCTTCTGCATCAGAATGTGAAGTTATGTCTGGAATTGATGATTAATCCATGGAGAAAATTAGGGAAGATAAGGTGCTTATAGTAGGTAACGCAAAATTGACTTCGTCTAGCTGTAACAAAGAGAAGAAAAAGCTTGATAGAGGAGTTAGGAAAAGTGTGTATATTCTTCACTCTCTTGTTAAAGAAACTAGGGAACAAACCAGAGTAGGGGTAAGGAAGAAGACAACTGAAAAGAGAAATAACAAGATTGGAGGGGTGATGTTGGTGGTTCTGGTGCTGATAAAGTGATGAATCAAAATATAAATCGATTAGGGTCTTGGATTCCCTTTGGAGAAAACCAAGCTCAAACAACTGATCAAGCCCTTGCTAGTGATAACTCGTTAGCGATTAGAGAGAGAGAGAGAGAGAGAGAGAGAGACCCATTTTTATATTATTTTATTTTATTAAATAAGTGAAAACATAATAAATGGTCCCTGTGGTAGTGAAATGAAGAAAATGCCCTTCAGTTAACGGACAAAAGTTAACGGTGTTAGCAATAAGGACCAATTGTTAAAAGTTTTGAAAACACAGGGACCATCTATGACGTTTTTAAACCACGGGAACTAAACTTCAGATTTTGAGAAACCACAGGGACCATTTATGATGTTTTTTCTATAAATAATAAATATTACTCTAAGGCAAATTAACTGAATCTGCTTTGAACTCGTTTATGAAAATTGGTTGTTATCATTTGAATTTCATTCTTGGATAAAAATACCTTATTGTTAATTTCAATGTGTTATTGTAATTAAATACACATAAATATTATGAACTTTTCTGAACAAAAAAACTTTATATATATATATATATATATATATATATATATATATATATATATATATATATATATATATATATAATTTGGTTTATTAATATTTGGTTTTATGGTTTTTGGTATAATATTTAAATCTAAAAATTAGATGATTATATTAATTATTTAATTATTAAACACAATGTTAATATATTAATCTTATTTAATTAAGTAGCTGATCATAAGTGTTAATTAAGTTTCATAAATGTAAAAACCTCATTGATTGTAATAGTTTCTTTTTAAACAACCTTTAATTAGAATTTAAAAAATTGGAATATTAAAATAGAATTTGAATAAAATTAATACTTTTTATTATATTAATACATATTTCAATTCCTCTTACTAACATTCACTTGAATAATCATCATTTATATAATAACTTAGACCGCTATACAAATTCTCTTATATAAATAATACTCATAGAATATGGACGGAAAAAAATTATTTTTTAAACTTGCGCAGTACACGGGCATTTGCGTAGTGTTAGATAATTGATGTCTTTGGTTTTTTCGTAACAAGAACGCTTGAGAAGTGAAGCGAAACTACAACTATATATATATATATATATATATATATATATATATATATATATATATATATATATATATATATATATATATATATATATATATATTATAGGTTATTGGACAAAATATACAAATATTGGAGCTTCTATTAAATAAATCAAATTTATATATCAACGATTTACAAATCATAATACATATTTAAATGTTAATGTTTAAATGTGGATTATAAACTCGAAACTATAGAGATTAAGGCCTGTCTACAGTGTCATAAGATTGAAAAAATTTTGGTATAGATTTACCTTGAGGATAGAACAATCAACCAAGAACAAATCCTAATTCTTATGAAATTCTCTATGTCCCCATATTGATCATTGAATACAAAAATATAATACGGGTGTGTGTTTTTCTCTAACCCTCAAATCTGGTTTTTGGTGATGAATTTATACGCTACACATTGGCAGTTAATCAATTTCAACTAACACACATGCTCAAAACCGAAATAAACTGGTAATTAACTTCCTGACTGGTAACTATCAATTAATAGATTTAATATATAATTAAGAAGTCAAAATTCAGAATTTATATATATATATATATATATATATATATATATATATATGTGTGTGTGTGTGTGTGTGTTTGTGTCTGTGTGTGTATGTATATACACAAATACACACACATACACACACACGCATATATATATATATATATATATATATATATATATTATATATATATTAGTCCAATACTTTCATGACAATTTTGACTAACCCAATCAGCAAATCTAACCTAATCCCTTTGGTCTAAGTGTTTAATCATATTAATAACATACTAGTAGAAGGTTTTATAATGAATAAAAGTTTATTCTTACTTCCAATGTGGGATAAGTCCCATAAATGTTATTTTATTTAAACAAAGTTCCAACAATACCCTAAATTTTCTAATCAAACTTCAAAAATACCTCATATTTAAAT